GATATAATCAAATTGACGTATATTGCTAGGTGTTATACAAGAAAAAAAAGGATAGATTAATTACATTAATTATAATTTAATTACATTAATTATAATTATTATTTTAATAATTTTATGGATCACAAAGTATATTTTGTGTTTTGCATTATAATTTATAATTACGAAAACAATTAAAAAAAAGGAGAGCGTGCGGCTATAGATCAACATAATTAGGATATGTCTAGCCCATTTTTAAATAAATAAAAATAAAGGAGGATCTTAAGTTATTTTAGATCAAATTTTCTAAAAAAAGACTTAACCTAATTATCAGAGACCTGCAGGCCCGGGCCGTATTTAAATTTTTTAAAATATACCTGGGCCGGGCCTGAAATTTTTTTTTTTTAATAACCCGGGCCGGTCTGTATTTTTTTTTAAAATTTATACAACATGAATTATTATATTCGTCAATTAGATATGGTTATAATGATTATATATAGTTATGATTAATATAATGTTTGGTGAAAGTTAACACTCATAGTATCTATTACATAATAAAATTATAGTTTTCCTGCCATGGAATAAATACGCAAAGGATTAAATACATTATTATATAATATATAATATATGTTATATTTTTTATTAATTAAAATGTCATTTTTATTTTTTTTATAAATACAAGTATATCCTCAAAATATTATTTTTTTTATAGTATCAATTTGTAATATACTAAATATCTGTTTAGAATAAAAAAAAATAAAATATGTAAAACGGCTCATTTTGAGCCGATTTTTAAAAACGGATAATGCAGTATTTTACCCAGAAAAATATTATGCAAGCCTGAAAATTTTGCTCATAGAAGGAGCAAAGGTCTAGACATGTAGTATCGAAATTTTGAGGCTTAGTCAATATTTTTCTGGCGAAAATATTGAGTTAGCCGTCTTTAAAAATCGGCTCAAAACGAGCCGTTTAACAACATTAGCTAATATGCTTGCTTATAATGTTAATACTCGCCGAAAAATATGATAAAATACGAAATAGATACATTTTTTCTATATACCAGGTCGAAATTTTAAAAAAATTCAGGCCGAGTCTAAAAAATTTTTTTTTAAAAAAATCCAGGCCGTGCCTGGCCCCTTAAATTTTTTTTTTTGATATCCGAGCCGGGTCGGGCCTAAAATTTTTAAACCCGGGCCGGGCCGTAAAAAATTTTTGAAAAAAATCCGGGCCGGGCCGAATCTGGGCCGGGTCGTACAAATGGTACCTCTGCAGATCTCTGCTGATTATTAAAAAAAATTGAGGATACTAAATTCCATATTTTTTTAATAAAATACGAAATTTCATAAATAGCAAAGTGTTTTAGCGTTATAAAAATTTAAAAGCGTGACGTTAAATATATATATAGAAACATCAATTAGGCTGGTTCGCTAGTTTTTTGAAAAATGTCTGAACTTGCTAAATTAGTTACAATATAATTAAAGTCTAAAGAATTTCCTTAGAGAAAAAGAGATCCGGTGGAAAAATATTATCGGCCAGGAACTTTCAAAAAGTAACAAATTTATGGTTTCCGATATATTTAAAAAATAAAAACATATTAATGATGAACTCCTTATTAGAAAGTAAGTGGAGTAGCAAAGAATTTTAATACTTTATATTAATTATATCAACCATTTGTCAAATATAAATCACTATTGCATACGTGAAGTATAATACATTCGCGATATTGAATTCACGATAATGCATTCGCGATTATACATGCTGTAATGCATTCCAATAATAATTTTGCTGTAATGCATTTGCGATAATAATTTTGCGGTGATGCATTTGCTCTAATGTATTCGCATGCTATGATGCATTCACAATAATACATTCGCGGTAATATATTATCTGTAATAAGAGTTGTTGGAGCGGCGCTACATTTTTCAAAAACTAATCCTTGAAATAAAATCTTTTTAAAAAATAAACGCTTAAACTAAAATCCCCTAAAAAACTAATCCTTAAAAATCCTTTCAAAAATAACAGCCAATCAAAGAAATGCAAGATTTCTGGAAAATTCTTTTATTTATTAATTTGAATAGATATTGGCGGAGTTGTTAAGGAGCGGCGCTTCTGGAGCGCCGCTACATTTTTTCAAAAACACCTGGAGTCCTTATAAAAATTGAGGAGTGGGAGCGGGAGCTAGCTCCTTTTAGGGCTGGAGTGGAGGAGCGCCGCTCCACCACTCCTTTAAATTTAATATATAAATAAAATTATTTAATAAATATTAATAATATTTGTTAATTAAAATTTAATAAAAATGAAATTGTATTTTATTTAAATTTATTATATTAGTTTTTCATCTAATCATTTTAAATATTAAACATCAAGTTTTCCCTTTTTATATTGAAATTTTTTGGAAAATCTTGTAAGTCATATTAATATTCATTTTATAGATATATAACAAAAAATAGTTTTAGATATTATGGATTTAGAGATCATAGATGAAGAAATCGAATTTCCATTTTCATCATACAAAAAATATTTTAAACTTCTAGATGTTAATCCAAATCAAACAAATTTAAGGGCAAAATGCCTTTTGTGTTTAAATAAAACTATTTAATTTTCAAAAGTGAGCAGCTTCAATCTAAAAAAGCATCTAATATAAAAATCTTTCTTTTAAATAAAAAATGATTTGGAAGATTTTTTTAGATTCCATGAAATTGATCACCAGGAAGATAATATATTGGACAAATATTTTTTTAAATAATGATACCAAAATTACTATTTTTGAGAAATTCCCTTATAAAAAATATCTTTATAAAATACAGTACCTAACTTTCTCTAGTGCTCCTGAGGAGCGCCTATTTAGTATTGTAAAAGAGGTCTTAGGGGAGAGGCGTGGATGTTTGTTAGATTCTAATTTAGAAAATTTATTACTTTTATATGCTAATAAAAGGTTATAAATATTTTGAAAGATCATTTAATATAAATAAACTTTTTTATAAAAAAATATGATTTTGTTTCGTATACCTTCTAAAAAATGAAAATAAAAAGAGCGATTATGGAGTGGCACTCCATTACTTGGAGTGGGAGCTAGCTCCTTTTAAAAATGTAGTAGCGGGAGTGGGGGCTAGCTTCTCTTGAGAAGGTAGGGACGAGAGCGGGAGCTACTTTTAAAAAGGAGCGTTAACAACTCTGGCTGTAATGCATTCGCGATAATGTTTTCGCGGTAATGCATTAGCGATATTGTTTTCCCTATGACGCATTTTCGCTATAATTTCTTTTCGCGGTATAGTACCTTAAAATTAGTAGCTATTAGCGCTACATTTTTTTGATGGGTAACGATAGTGGTAGCGTGCTACTTTTTTGACAATTAGCGGTAGCGGTAACGCGCTACTTTAAAAGTAGTGTTTAACAACTCTGGTTAAATCTTATTAAATCAATAACTAGGTTATTAAACGGCTCGTTTTGAGCCGATTTTTAAAAACGGCTAACTCAATATTTCATCTATAAAAATATTACGCAAGCATGAAGATTTTTTTCATGAAGGAACAAAAGACTATACATATATTATCGAAATCTCCAGGATTAGGCAATATTTTTCTAGCTAAAATATTGAGTTAGCCGTTTTAAAAAATAGGCTCAAAACGAGCCGTTTAACAACACTATCAATAACTAATGTGTTTTGAAACAAAGATTATTACTCTAAAGTAGACATAAGAAACACTGTAAATGATCATTTTTTAAAGAAAGGATTAACCAATGGCATTATATGATAGCCTAAAGTAACGATTCATTTATTTATTAAAAGTGTACACACACAGTAATCAGCCATAGCCGCCATTTTATAAATAATATTTTAAATTTATAAAAAATATACTAAGAATATAATTATTTTTAAAAAAAATGTAGTCATTTAGTCAACGTGTAGACAGAATGAACAAATTTTTTTTAAAAAATGTATTCAAATATAAATATAAACACACTTTAAAACAGGTATTTGAAAAAATGTATTTAAATTCTTATAAAAAAATTTCGAAAAAAGTATTAAATATTTTTTGGAAATCAAATTTTACATTACTAATAACCTTTTTAAAATATAAATGGACCTGTACGGGTGGCCAGCGGTAAATTAAATCGGCGGGCCTGGGGCCGTCTTTTAGCCACCGTTATCATATTTAAAATATAGATCAAATTATAAATTTCTAATATAACTTTATAAGAAGCAATAAAAAAGCATGACTGAATTCATCAACCTAATGATCGAAATAATCTTTCAGAAGGCATGCTAGTTCTGCAATACAAATAATTTTATTGTCCAGCATCGAAAGGAGGAAGCTAGATCCTCTTTTCTTTCAAAGTTTTTAGATCATCTATATCCTGCGAATGATGTCTTCCGATAAGAATATGGCATTCTTGTTCCAGGTAAAAGTGAAATCATAATTTGTGTTTGTGGTGAATTTTTACTTTGTTATTGTTTAATTTTTAGTTATGCACAGATTGCAATGCACTTTATACTTTATTATTGTTTTTAGAAGATACTTAGAAGAACATTATGCCTAATATGGTTAACCTGTAGAGAATATTCGAGATCGAGACACTCTGCTAAAAATGTTTTAAAACAATTATCTTAATATATAAAAAAATACTTAGTGGAAATGTATTCCATATATTTTATTTCTAAATTTAATTCTTCAGTTTCACTGTCAACATACAAGTAGCTCATTTTAATAAAATAGGATGAAACAGATAAGAAAGATCTTGATTTTTTTCTCTAACTCAAATCACAAATAATTAAATAAATCAATTGTAAATTTTACATTTATAATAAAAAAAAGAAAAAATATTTGTATTTTTAGCATTTAAATAAAAGTATTTGAGATACTGCCAAATTCTACATGCAGACTATAAAATAACGTCTACAGCCGACTCCTATGTATGTACTGTATACTTTTAATGCATTTTAATAAAAAATCGACACTATATTAAAATATTATTAATGCCAATTGAGTTCGATACTAATAGAATATTATAGAATAGATTACTTTGGGCCATCTGATCGTAGCACTCTTTTTCAAGCTGCACGTAATACGCTCTTTCGACCTCTTTCTCGACTTGATGCATTTTATTAACGTGTGATTCTTCGAAATTATCTTTGACGTAATATTTGACGTGCAAGTCGCTTGTTTCTCTCAAATTAACGTACCTCCTAACAAAATATTTTTTTAAAGTAAAGAAAATAAAGCATGGAAATAAAAAATATATGAATAGGCGCCCATTTATTAAACGACTTAAAAGGTGTAAAAATGAGAAAATAAATTCTCAAAAAAAGATCTAAATAAAACAATGATTTAAATGCCTCTTTTTTAACTTTAAATATGGTTTAAAAGCTTGATTATTTAAAGACTATTATTATATCAGGAATTTTTTATTACTAATTCTATATATGTTTAAGATATAAGCAGGGGCGGATTGGCGATGCCACAACCTGGGTAAATGTTTTCTAGACCTCGGCCGGGACCACTTTAATGGCTTGATATACATGTTTTTATTATTTCTTGTAAAAATGTCTGAAACTATGGGGTAAACACAATATTATAGTTATCACATTTTTAATCCCATATTTTATTTTAAGAATTGCACATATAAAATCATAAAATTGAGGTTTGTAATGGGTGTGTTATTGGCCAGCCAGGGTTAAATATTTTCAACATTGGACGGGTGGGTTAAAAATAATTTTTAAAAATGAGCGGGCGTGGGTGGTGAATTTTTAATATTTCCGTCAAAATGAGCAGAACAGACTTCAATTTATTTAAAATAATAGTTTTATTTCATAATAATGCATATTATATATATTTAATTAAAATAATTTTTAAGCATTAGGTTGGCGGGCGGGTTAAACAAAATTTATAGATAAATGGACGGACGGGCGGATAAATTTTAAAATAAGTAGGTGGGCTAAAAAATTTCAAAACAAAGAGTGGGAGGGCTTTTTGGCTAAAACCTAACCATTGCAGACCTCTAATTTAAATACATACCTATTGCAAATATTCATATAATAAAATATAAACTACACTTGTATATTAATTGCACTATAAAACTATTAATTATTGCACTAAAATCTATACTATATATCACATTGAACAGAGTATAAGACATTGTATATTACATAGTTTCCCAAATTAAATTTAACTAATGAATTAAACGAATGTATAATTTTTAGCTAATCAATCTAGCATTAACTCTCAACTATGGCACAAATAAACACATATTCGAATTCTAATTGCATCAACAATTCTTTTTCAACGGGCATCAATAAAAATACCCAATTAATAGTATCCATATTTGCCCTCAGCTTATTTTTTATAATTTTGAATTTACTAAATGTTCTTTCACAATTTACTAATATGTTAGCAAAAAATAATTAATATATGTAATTGTGTGCAGATTTGGGCAGAATATTACAATAGCGTTGCGTTACATAACATATCTCTCATTTAGAAAATAAAACCAAGAGGTTCTGTAACCATTATATTTGTTTGTGCATCTGAAGTATAACTTTTATTTTTCGTTACTTTTAAAACAAACGATTTTTTAATATAAAAATATATTTTTTATAAATAATATTAACGTTAAAATAGAATGTCTGATTGTATTGGTTAACAAAAAACATGCGAATCCATGCGAATAGGATTTCTTCAATTTCAAATATTTTCATTGTGGGATTTAGTAATGTATTGTTTTTTTATCTTAAATAATGACAGCCAATGAATTTTAGCATAGGATGATTATAGTATTTTGGTAAAAGGGCCATTCCACGTCAAATCGATCACGATTCGGCCGGCCTCTTTTAAAATTGTTAAAATTTTCTAGAATTATTTAGATAGTTAAGAAAATGAGAGAGCCGTTTATTTTAGCTAGACTCAAAGATGCAAAAAAGAGCCACTTTGGAATCTGTAAAATTTTTAAAATGCTTATATCTCAAAAACTATTTATAGTAAAATAATATATAATATATAAAAATGTAGGTAAAAAAATCTCCAAAGAGCTATCAAAAAAAAAAATTGGTGCCAATTTGAGCCGTTAACCTCCGGTTTACCTATTAGGCTTTACCTGTGTTTTTAAGCAAAAACGGGAGTTTGTTTTCGAAATTTTTTTTATTGCTTTTTATTTAGACACCTTTGCTAAATATATATGCGATATCAAAACTTTTTTGGCGACGCTATCGACTCCAAAAATTGATGAAAAAAATAGATGGCGTTTTATGAAATTACAGATTATGGTTAACATTTTGCTGCTAACTTATCAATAACTGGATATTTTTACTTTTTATACTAAAATATTTTGAATTTCTATTAAATATACTAATTAAACTGAGGAGCAGAGTGGGCAAATGCCCATTAGACACTTACTAATGTAACAAATTTCCAATAATAAATATCTTTCATATAATTTTTTAATTTTTAAGATATCTAGAATTTCATCGAATTTTTCATCATTTGATGAAGAAAATTGTATAATTTCGTTAAAACTTTTTTTTACTCTAGATATTTTTTTCTTCTAATATTTCTTTTCACATAAGCGTTTTCTTTTAATGAGAGATTCCCCATTTGATTGTAGGGATATATTAATGTTATCAATAGCCTCTTGATTAATTATATGATGGGGAGAATCAATATCTACATTGTCATTTGAAGTATAAGGAATGTTTGCTAATTTTTGTTGGCATGAAGAGCATATTAACATATCTAAATTGAATGGCAAATTTTTTTGGGTCATCCAAAGTAAAATCTTTCTTAGATTCTCGCGATAATAAGCATATCTCTGTAGATTGCAACATTTTAATATTTGGTACGTCCATCTGTGTTATAGAATAAAATTTTAATTGATCTGTACCTAGAAAATATGTTTTTGCACTCTCTAAATCCATGTTATTGGTAGACAAACGATAGAATAATAAGCTGCAGACGGGTTGAATTATTTAAAATTAATGAACGGACAAGTTAAAAATATTACGCAGAAAGAGAGATTGTTTTAAACAGTTTATTTTGTAAAATATAATCGATAATATGCTTAATAAAATATTCGTTTTTACTGCAGCTGTTATACATTATCGAGCTAATAAGTCATTCGCTATAGTAGCAAAGTAGAGATCTAAAAAATGTAAAACATTTTAAGGATGGTGGGGGGGGGAAGGCAGAACTGGGAAATTTTATCACATTTCTTATAAAAGTATCAATATTTTCATTTTCCTTAAGAATAATATTTTTCAACCATTAGCGCCATCTACTTTTTTTCAATTTTTGGTAAAAATGTAAATTTCGGAAAAGTCGATGGCGTCGCCAAGGTTTTGACATCGTATATATATTTATAAAAGGTGTCTAAATAAAAAGCAAAAAATAAATTTCGAAAACAAACTCCCCTTTTTGCTTAAAAATACAGGTGAAGCAAGATAGGTAAACCGGAAGTTAAAGACTCAAATTGGCGCCAATTTCTATTGTTTTTTATATTGTACATTTTTTTACTGTAAATAGTTTTTGAGATATAAGCATTTTAAAAATTTTACAGATTCCAAAATAGCTCTTTTTTGCACTTTTGGTATATCACGGGAACCAGGTGTGCTAGCGAGCTAAAATAAACGGCTTTCTCATTTATATATCTATCTAAATAATTCCAGAAATTTTTAACAATTTTAAAAGGGGTCGGCCGAAAATGATCGATTTGACATGGAATGGCCCAAAAACGAAGTTTGTTTTGTACTAAATATTGTGAAAAATATTATTTAGAGTTTCATTTAAAAACATTATCAATTTTTTAATATAACATTATATTAAATTACAAGATAGAATCTACAAAAATGATTTTTTTTTATTTTGGCAGTATATAAAAGATAAATTGAATCCTATATCACAACCCATCATTATAAATATATAGCATAAAGATCCAATAATATAAATATTTATTCATTACAATACATATTAGCCCGATTTATTTTAAAAAACGGGTAAGATCCAAAATAATATTATGTAAGCCTTGAGATTGGGGAACTGGAAGTCAAAACCTTTCTACAATCTATGTACAAAATCTCCAGGCCTATCCGTTTTTAAAAATAAGCCTGAGTCGAACTTTTTAGCAATTTTTGATTTGCAAATCTGAAAGATCAAACAGGAGACAAAAATAATTTTATTTGAAAAATTAGCCCTTTGTAGAATCAATGCTTTAAATTGATAATCTTTGATTTTATTAAATTTGTCAATAAAATATTAATAAATGAGTCTTTGTTTCTGTTAATTAGTCAAATGATCCTATCTTAAAATCATTTGTTATTTTGAAAGAACTTGTTAAGTTTCTTTTACTTAAAATAATATATTTTTAAAGGTTAAATTGTTATTTTTAGTTAAAGAATTAAACAGATTTTATTTTATACCGAAAGGTCAATTATATTTCTTTTTGTATTTTTTTCATTAAATGTACATATGTAAATTGATAATTAAAATAATGTATATATATAGTGGACGATTTTGTAATAAAAAAAAAGATAAAATGTTTTGAAAATAAATTTTTAAAATATAAAGTCAAAAAATAAAATAATTTGTAAATTAAACTTAAAAATTTTTAAGTTAATACAATGCCTTCCATAATTTAATAGTTTCTTTATTATACTGCTTTTTAATTTAAATTACAGATAAATGAATCAATAAAATTTTTTATCGCATTTTTTTATTTTCTTTATTTTTAATTATATAACGAAGAACTTTTTTGTAACTGTTACATGTTCTAAATAAAGATAACATAACCGTTATTTAAGTGACGATGGTAACTTAGCCTTATATTTCATAACGATAACCTTAAACTTTTATTAAGTAACATGCCCAAATCTCGTTGTGTGCTTATGAATCTCATAGATACATATTATTAAGCATTGATTACTTGGTTGGATTTACTATTATCCTGTAATATTTTAATGTTTATCAGAATTCTCACTATCACAAATTATATCATCAATATTTTCATTAACCTGACTATTAAATCTTTGTAAATACGGGCAAATTAAGACAATATGTCTTAATTCTAATTGTGAAACTTTCTTCAAGGTCAGAAACCTTAAATATTTATTTCATCAAAATTCTTCGATATTGCACATTCGTTTTAATATCTCTCTTCACGAAAAATCTTATGGTTGTTAGATTAAACTATTTATAACTTGAG